TTGCGACGATGGTGACGATAATGGGGATGGCAACGGCAAGGCCAGCGACGTCGCCGATGTTGATCACGCCCGCCGGTAACGATGATGATGTCCTCACGTCGGTGATGGAGGTTTTGGACGGAGTTCGACACGCGCGAGCGGCCGACTCGCGCGAACGGCCCGCGCGGTTTCATGCGACGCGGATCACGCCCCCCCCCCCAAAAAAAAGGACGCGCGCAAAGGCGTTCGGGTGAGTTTGACATGTGGAGCGGGGGGCTCCTTTGGCATAGTATGATGACAATATTGAGACACCCGTGGCTCTGAAGGATTCGCAAGAACGCGCTTCCTTCATTTTTCCAGAAAGAAAATGCATGTATGTATGTATGTATATATATATATGTATATATATATATGTATATGTATATGTATATGTATATATATATATAATATATATATATATTATATATATATATATATCCGCCGGCCCCCTTGCGGGGCCACCAGGCTGCAGGCCGAAGGTTCGCAGTTTCCTGTGCCAGTTGCAGCTTCCAGTTTCCACCGTTGCATGTCTGCTTACTGCTGCTTGCTGTTCCTCGTTGATGGGCCGCGCGAGGGGGGGGGGGGGGGGGCCCAGGCGGGCGCGTTCAGCGCGCCCTGAGCGCGCTGTCTGGCTTGCTGGGGTGGGTAAAAATTTAAACCCTCGCGCAGATCAGCGGGGCCAGGGTCCAAAAGCGCAGAGGATTTGCTACATGTTTGAAATTCGGTGGCAACCCTCGCGCAGATCGGCGGGGCCGGGGTCAAAACGCTCGTGGGATTTGCAACGTTTCTGAAAATCGGCGGCGCCCCTCGCGCAGATCGGCGGGGCCAGGGTCCAAAAACAGACGCAATTTGCTACGTGTCTGACATTCGGTGGCACCCCTCGCGCAGATCGGCGGGGCCAGGGTGCAAAGACAAAAGGGGCGTGCCACATTTTTGAAATTCGGCGGCGCCCCTCGCGCAGATCGGCAGATCGGCGGGGCCAGGGTCAGAAAACCCATGGGATTCTCAACATTTCTGAAATTCGGTGGCACCCCTCGCGCGGATCGACAGGGCCAGTGTCCAAAAACATAAGGGATGCGCAACATTTCTGAAATTCGGCGGCACCCCTCACGCAGATCCGTAGGGTCAAAATCAAAAAACACAAAAGGGTTTGCTACATGTCTGAAATTCGGTGGCACCCCTCACGCAAATCCGCAAGGTCAGGGCAGAAAAACATACAGACCCCCACACTGCTTCGCGGCGGCGCCCAGACCTGATGATTTAGCTTTTGCATCTCCCATTGTCCGAGACAGGGGGCCGGCGGCATGGGGCGAAGCCCTTGCGGATAAACATGTGAACACATGATGTTGCAAAACGTTTTTTTGTTATCCCCGCCCCTCTCTGTCTTTCTCGGATTTCGGAATTCTCGTTTTGACATCCTTTCGACACCTATGGTGTTCGAAAGATGTCCGCGCGCGCGGCGACGCGCGCGCACTTCGTTGGAATTCGAGCGACAAAGATTCTGGCGACAGCGCGCGCAAAGAACCGCTCGAACGATTTCGACGCGCGCGCGCGAGAGGCCCGTGTGGTAGCATGTTGTGAACATGTTGGACAACATATTTCTTTGGTATATAAAAGCCCACCTGCAAGGGCGAGGGCGCAGGTTGTTCTGAAAACTCTCGTTCCAGATCCATGATTACTTGGTATGTTTTCGCGGGGCTCGATTTTGACATCCTTAAGGCACCCGGGGTTCTAGATCGATTCCGGCATGCGCGCGCGCCGGCGCGCCCGCGCGCACTTCGCCCCGTTTGTTGTAAGGAACTGTTGCAAACCAATGTTTTTGGATAAACAAGCGTGCGCGCATAATTCTTCCAGAGGGTGAGGGGGAACTGTTGCCGGCCCGGCCGGGATGATGCGAGTTCACATTCAGGATGGGCGATGGGGGCCCTGCTGCTGGGATGGTTTGATTGATGGCGAACTCACTGTTCCCGACTTTTATACATTGCGTCTTGCTGAGCAACCAAGACCGACTTTTATGCTTCGTGCGCATTGAATCGGGCATGCATACAGACAACTAAAGGCAAACAAACACAATCTGACAGCACACAAGAAATAAACATAGACAACACAAAGGCAACGAAATACCAGGTTGGCATTGACGCATGCTGGTTGTTTAAAACAAACCGACGCATCCAAGTCGATGTAAGTCCATGCGCCCGCAAGGCTGGTTCCATGCTTGGCGACTCCCAGCGGGAGTCGGCGAGGTGCCTGGTGACTCGCTTCGGCGTTGCCCTATATGGGGGGTCGGCGAGCTGTCCCGTGGCTCGATTCGGCGCAGCCCTTGGGGTCCAGCGGGTTTTCCCGAGGCTGTATGTGCATTTCACGATCGATTTCCCTCTCCCTCCTCGCTCCTGTTCGGTGTATATATATATATGTATATATAAATATGTATTTGTTGTCTATCTCTCTCTCTCTCTCTCTTTCTCGCCATTTCTTTGCCGTCGCCGCCGCGGCCAGCGACCCGTTGTCCGCGCCTTCATCGTCGCCGACAAGCCATGGTGCCATCGTCGCTCAATCAGCGCCGTGCATCCGCTCATCCAGCGTCATCCAAACATCCAATCACCCACTTCTTCCAATCAACCAACCATCTGGTCGCCCAGCCGTCCCGCGGCCGTTTTGGCTTCCAGATCAGCGCGCCCGACACGCGCGGTTTGCAACGTTTGGGGCGATGGCCCAGAGCGCCCCGCGCCCGACGACGGCGCGCTTTGAAGTCGGAGATCTGCAGACGGCCTGGAAGGCCGACGCCGAGCGCAGGGGCCCAGGGTTCAAGCGGGGCGGCAATGGATGCGCGAAGGGGCGCGCGGGCGCTGCAGACCGAACAGGTTCGGTTCAGCGCGCCCGCCCATTGGTGGCGCTCTCGAAGCTGCCCCCGAGCGATTGTCCGAACCATATGTTGGTGAGGCAGGCCTCGGCGGATCTGCGCGTCGACCGCGCGCTCGTCGCGGGGGCGGGCTCCGACCGCTCGTGAAAAGTGGCGTCGGGGGCAGCCGGCGCCCGGGGGGCCGCGTGCAGGCGCGCGTGCAGCGCCGCCAAGGCTTTGGGGGTCCCATAGGAGTTGAAGGAGCAGCCTGATCGCGATCCCAAGGCGCCCGATGCCCCCGCCGCCGCGGGGCCCCGCGCAAACCGGCGCCCCTGATCCTGCGGGCCTGCGCCGTCGCGCGGCGCCGCGGCGCCCCCGTCCTCCGAGGCCCCCAACGGCGCGACCATGGGCAGCGACGTCGGCAACGAGGCGGTCCACATCGAGGACGCCGAGGGGAACGAGGCCGACGGGGGTGGCCCCATGCAGGAGGAGGCGGGCGTGGAGATCACCGCGTAGAAGCGCATGCGCGCCGATTGCGTCGCAGCGGGGGGCCCCATTCTCGGCGACGACGGGGGCGGCGCCGGAAGCCCGTCTTGCAAGAAGGGCGGGCAGCGCGAGCGCTCGGTCGGGCCTCGCTGCATGGTCGCTGGGAAATACGCCGCCCGAGGACGTTGAAGATGCGCCGACAGGGGAGAAGTCGGGCGCGGCCCCCAAGCCCGCGGCGGGCCGCGAGCCGACGGAGGCGATGGAGCGAGGACCACAGCCGCGGGGCCCATCGACGGCCCCGTTTGCGCCCAAGCCTGAGCGCCACGGAGAAGCCTGCGTCGCGCGGCGCTGCGGGGGCAAGGTTAAGTTCGCGGCTGGCCAGAGCGGGTCCCAGTCGGCGTCCTACAAGGAGAATGTGGAGGAGCTCGTGGCGCGCGCCTCGGAGGGGAAGATCGCCGCCGTCAAAGGCGCGCCGTCATTTTTGGCTGGCCGTTTGCCTCTGCAGTGATTCCCCCGACGCGCCAATTCCATGCCGTCGCGAGGGTTAGAACGGATGCGAGGTCGCTCACTGTCTAGTGCAAGTCTCTCGGCCGTCTCCCACGAGCTTCATAAATCCGCATTGTGTCTCGCAGTCGCTCGGCAGCCTCAGCTAGACGCAAGTAAAGCGCTGTGTAGCACAAAGAGCTGCATGGACCACCGAGACGTATGCCCGAAAGAACAGACACATCTCCCATTGCACCATCATCAACGCATGCATCGTTGCCACCGTCATCGCATGCACTGTCATCGCCAGCACGCCTTACTGACATTACTATTGCAACCACATTCGTAACGCAGATCATCACCACCACCGCCGTCGTCATCATCCTCACTCACATCGATGTTACACAGCTTCGGCGTCATCGTCATCGTCGTCGCTCGTAGCATCGTTTGTCATCGTCGTCATTCTCGCCGCCCGCGCCACGCACCGACACTATCCGGACCACATTCGCTTTGCATGAAGACCGCCACCGCCATCATCATCATCATCATCATCATCATCATCATCATCGTCGCCGTCGCCGTTGAGCCGCCCCTTTAGCGCAAGCGCTGCATGTCGGCACGTCCGGTTCCTCTTTCCAATCGAGGGCAGGGGCGCGGTCTGGGGGCGGGCGCGCCCTGCCTGCGGCGCCCCGAGGCCGCGAGGGCAGGGCAGCCCGCGATCGCAGTGTGTCTTCTCAGGGGGTCGCCCTCGAAGCTGGGCCTGTCGCCGTCGAGCAGCCAGCGCCGCCGGCGACCCCGTCCGCGCCAGGGGCACCGCGTCTGAAGTCCGAGCCTGGCCCATGGAGGCCCCATCGGCGCGAAGTTGAAGATCTCGTCAGCAGAGGCCCAGAAAAAAAAAAAGGCACAAGGTGCAGGAGTCGAAGGTCGGTTCAGGGAAGTATGACGACCGCGTCGGCTAGCTGCTGTCGGCGAAGGGCCGCGCGTTCCCAGGTGACTTCATCCAGGAGCGCAAGACGATCGAGAACATCAAAGGAAAACAGCTGCGAGACTGGCTGGATTTCGTGAAAGGAGGCGCTGACAAAGAATAGCGAGGTTAAACTCTCAAGGGCACTGAGAGCGGCTCCGCCATTGTCAGCTTCGCGCCCCAGTTCGTTGATCACCCCTGGTTCGTCAGCGCCGTGGCCGCGCGACCCGCGGGCGAAGCGGGTCGCGGAGGGCTCCGAGACTCCTGCCGGGGCGACCACTGCCGCCGAGAGCGCGGGCGCCAGGCGCGACGATCCATCTTCGCGCGAGGGCTGCGCGAAGAAGTTCAAACCCGAGCGCGCGCCGGCGGGCCCGCCGGCTGCCCCGGCGTCGACCTCGGCCGCCCCGCCCGCCCAGCCTGCCAGCGTGGGCCCCCGCGTCAAGGGCGCCCGCTCGCACTTGAGGAAGGCGATCTCGGCGCGGGATCGCTGCCGTCGCGACGCGGGGGCGGCGCTCTCCCGCGGCCAGTGCAGCGGGAATGCGGCAGGGGGCAAAATCGAGAAGGACGCAGATATGCTCGAGGTCTATTGCGAGAGCTTCGATGCGAAGGTTCGGGCCACGGGGCGCTCTCACTTGGCAACTAGCGCGCTCGCCGGGGCCCAGATTGAGGAGGCGGCCGCGCTCTGCCAGGGCGTCGAGGGCAATGTCCAGGAGGCCGCCAAGAAGGGCGCCTCGCCTAAGTCTCGGTTTGATATTTGAGCCGTCGGCGTAGAGCCGATAGCGGGCATTCGAAGAAGGGGGGCCCGATGCTGCTCTGATATTTGTTGGGGGCGGGGGGCGTGTGCCAACGATGTCCAAGAAGTCAGATCGGAATCAGATCTGACTCAGATCAGAGACAGATCTGCCGTTGTGGCTTCAGAACTTCCGAGCGGCCCATCGCGGGCCGCCCCCCGTCGCGGGCGCGGGTGCGAGGGGGGGGGGGGGGGGGGGGGGGGGGGGCGGCGGAATAAGAGGACGAGGTAGAGGAATGCGATGAGGAGGACAACGGCGACGCGCCCTAGGAGCGCGGGGTGTTTTCGACACCCCGAAAAAAAGGGCGGGGGGGTGGCATGCCATGCGCGTGTTTGGGACGTTCTCTCCCCCTTCTTGACATTCGGGATGCTGGCGACGCGTCTGGCGCTCCGAAGGTGTCGGCGGGCTGGGCCTGCGTTGCCTGGCTGGGCCCTTGGGGCCGCCGTCGCTTCGCCGCGGGGGGGGGGGGGGGGGGGCGCTCCTCCGCGGCCGCGACCGAGCAGTCGCTCGACTGACGTAGCCGCGTTTGCGTCGTGCCATTCGCCATCTTCGCCGTCGCCACCCTCGCCCCACTCCTGATCGTCCCGCTCTTCCCCCCCAGGGGTGCGAGGACAGGGCGGCGCCTGTTGGGATGCGCCCCCCCCCCCCCCCCCCCCCCCCCATCGCTTTGAATTTCGGCTGCTGACTCGCTCGGGCGACCGATGGCCGCGGCCGTCTGGCGCGGTCCAATCTCTTGGCCTTGCCCGCAGGGTCGTGGCATTCCACGGCCGATTCGAGTTCAGCGGGGGGTTCGCAGCGCGACGGGCGCGCGCTGTTTTCGCCTTGGCGCCCCGCGCGGGGGCCCGCGACGACGCGGCGCTGCTGCTACCGAAGCAAACGCAAGACACATCGATGCTGCGTCGGGCCGTTGTTGGCAGCCTGGATCGAGCGAGTTAGGCAGCGCGAGCCGTCTCGATCAGGGCCCTAAGCAGTTTGCCGTGGGTCGTGGTCCCGGGGCCGCGCGGGCCATCGGTGGCCTCCGTCCTGGCTGTTTTGGGGTCTTCTGTTTTCCCTGGCGGCGTTGTCTGAAACTGGCGAAAAACTAGGGCCCGTCGAGCTTGCTGGCCCATCGCCCTGACTCTTCTAGGCGCCGTCGCATCTCGCCCCCCCCCCCCCCCCCCCCCCCCCTTAAGTGCGAAAGGACAAGAGGCCCGCCCAGGGGCGAGATGCACCCGCGCCCCCCCGCGGGGGCGGCGACGCAGACGGGCGCAGGGGCCAGGGGCAGAGGTCAGAAAAAGAAAGGCAGCAACTGGAATGCCAGAACCACCAATTTCCCGAATTTTACCCCGGGAAGGCGCCGCCGCAGGCGCTGCAGGAACAGCGCTGGGAATGCATCGGCAACTACAAGATAAACTGCGAGAGATGAGGGGGGCGCGGTGCAATCGTTATTCTTTGATGTCAAAGCGCCCCTTCTAGCGCCGCCCATCTCAACGAGCTCGCGAGGGCATTGTCAAATTCGGGAATGGTGTGCTTTCAGCCAGTAGTCGTTCTGGCCAGAGTTTGTCGCGCGCACTCGCGCTGGCCACCAGTTCGTCATCCTCGAGCGACCGCGATGGGAGCAGATGCCGGCGCCCTTGCGGGCGCCGTTGGAGGGCGGCAAACGCCGACGCGCTGGAGGCCGGCGTCAAAGACTGGCGTTGGAGCCTGATGCTTCCCCAACTGGCCGAGGCATGCGTCGTTCGGCAGCTGGGCTGCTTCTTGATTGGGGCGACGGCGCGGTCGGCGCGTCGGAACTGCAGCGGCGCGCGGCGCGTGGCAGAGGGGGGCGCGCGCGACCGCCCCGTGATGTCGCGCGCCTCGCTGCGATCGGATCTGCGCAAAATGCCCGAGCAGGTTGGGCGAATTAGCCGGAGTCTCGTGGGGCACCTCGGCCGTTGACCCCTGTCGGCGGAAGGCTCTTCAGTCGAGTGGCGCTGCCTTCGACGCGGCCTCGATGTCTTCGCAGCGAACGCCCTCAGGGTTTCAAATTGATATTTGGAACAGACAAGCAACGGCTACGTGAATGTTGGTCTTCCTTCTTAGCCTTGCCAGCGACGCGAAAATGGAGCGCTGCGTGTCCTATCTTGAGAGGTGCGAGCGCGGGCGATCTAGGGGCTACTCTCCCGTGCGCGATCCACGCGGATGCTGCGCCGTGCTCGAACAAAAACAGTTTCGTGAGCATATATGTTGCGTCTCTTCTGCAGAAGGGCGAAGGGAATATTGCTCCATTTCCATGCGCCACACGTGTTAAAACGAGCGCTGGTTGTCATGTTGTAATATGCGGCGCTATCCTGGCCGACGTGGGCTCGCTTGCGACGGGCGTCGTGGGCGGCGCGGACGTCGCCGGCGGCGCGCGCGGCGGTCGTTGGAATGCGGTCTTGCTGATGGCGAAGGCCGACGAGCAAGCGAGGTGCGAAGAGTACGGACTCAACCACTACTGAAGTGATGAACCGTGCTCGGAGTGCATGTGCAGTCGCACCACTGGACCATTTACTGGCATTCGGGGAGGATTTGCGTGGAGGCACAGAGAACGAATGCCCTTCCAGTGCTACTCCGCGAGGCTGGAATAACACTTGCACCCGCTAGCTCGGTCTCGCTACTTCTGTTGTCGCTGGTTCTTTTCTTGCACATCATACGTGTGCTGGACGTCAAGGGGGTGGCGTCCCTTGTCATTGGTGGTGCGCTGTCCTTCCTTTCTGCAATTGGCTGCGCTCGGTGGTAATATTCAGACCCGCTCGGACCGCGTACGTTGATTTCTGGCTGAATATTATTGCGACGAGCGGCGTGGAAGCAATCGCCTTCCAGCCACGCGGAAACCTAAATAAGCAAATGAATGTTGGTGGGGGCATCCATGGCCAATACTTCGAAGCGGCCAACATGCGCTGTGCGGTACCAGCCTCCCACCAGATCTGCAGAAGGTTTCTCGTTTCAGAATCAGTGGAGCTGACCACTGCGATAAACATGTGTTGGAAACATTGGTTGGACTTTACGACGTCCTCGACCATGAACACACGTTCGTGTCAGATGAATATTGCAGGAGGTTCCGAGCTGCGACAATATCGTATGGGCTGGAATGCCACAGAGCGCGGCAGCATGCTCCACGCAGAAGGGTCCTCGCATGGAATCTTGCACGACAAGTGCACACCATACACCGCGCGGCACTAATGGCTACGGTTCTCAACCCTCCCTTCGTGCAAAACTACGATGAATAGTTCCAGATGGGGACGACAGGGCGCGCGTGGAAGATGTCTATGAGCGCTCGTTTTCGGAAGCACGTTCAAAAAACAGTATGGTGAAACGTTTCACTGCCCTTCTTGTGCGAGTTGAACTGCGACAGCATGTTCAAACAACGCTGCTCGTGGCATTGACTGCTACCTTTCTGATACAGCCTGATTTGCCACGGATGCCCAACAACATATGTCGTTTTCTGCTGCCTGCCCCTGAAGACGAGCTCGAACGAGGGCGGGGTCAAGAGGGAAGGGGAGCCACGAAATCCCCTTGAAGGCCAGACCCTGGCGCGTTTCTAGGGGGGGCCAGGCTCTTGCCCGTTCCTTAGCCTGCCGAAGGGGGCAGGCTGAAGCCGTGCATCGGCCGCTGGACCCTGGAATCCCTATCCATCGGCCGCTGAACATTGGAATCCCTTTCCAACGCTTCGTTGTCACATGCAGAATACGTGCAGCAAATCAAAAAAACACCATCATAACATCGGGCATACATGCATATGCCACTCATAGTTCGAACGTATGGCTTTACGTATACAATACCATACATGATTATAAATGAGCTTAGCCGGTCATCAGTTAAAAAAATGGTTTTGTTGTCGGAGGTTGGGGGGTGAGATCGAAGTGGAACGGAGAGCCCCCCACCAGGAAATCGGTTTCGGTTTCGTGTTCGTGCGTGCCGTGCGTGCGGGCGAGGCGAAGCTGCGTGGGCGGGCGAGAGGAAACTCTCCTGTGGCTGAGGCGCGGCCGGACCAAATGATTCTCCCTCCGGCAAGCGGTGGCCCGCGGTGGCCCGCTGGTGTCCCGCCGGTGTCCCGCTTGTGGCTGGGCCCCAACCGGACCAAATGATTCTCCCTCCGGCAAGCGGTGGCCCGCGGTGTCCCGCCAGTGTGCCGGTGACCCGCTGGTGCGAAAACGATAGTGAGACCGATGACGAAATCGATTGTGAGATCGATAGTGAGATCGATACTGAGACCGATAGTGATATCGATCGTGAGATCGATCGTGAGATCGATAGTGAGATGGATAGTGATATCGATTGTGACATCGAGTGATATCGATCGGGAGATCATTCGTGGGATCGATAGCGATATCCAGAGTGATATCGACAGTGCAATCGATCGAGTGAGATCGCTAGTGAGATCGATCGAGCGAGATCGATAGTGGGATCGATAGTGAAAAACTGGACACCAAGGCTCCCAAGAGCGAGCGGCAACGCAACAATCACCACTGTTGCCCATTGCTAGCCCCTCTCCCCCCCAACCTCCTTATCAGCCGCAGGGTGGTCGTATAGGCACCTATCATGCAAGCGATCCTTGTTGTCTAATTCAACTGAATCAGACCCCGAACGCCTGATTATAAAAGTGACGTGGGTCAGCTATTGGGGTGGGATCCTATGTAAAGTACAGTACGGAATGAGTGGCGGTTCAATTGGGGGGGTGTAGATCCTAATGCTCTTTTAGAACAGAGAATCTATATGGTGAAACGTATGCGGTGCAATTTATGCGGACCGTATCTAAGTTATGCAAGATAGGCTGCGACAAGCTGGCGACGGCAACCATGAAGCCACCAGACCGCCAACCACGCCCAGACGACGAGCAGCGACGTGGCGGCGACGGGGCGGCGACGGCGACCACGAAGCCGCCCGACAGCCACTCAGGCCCAAACGACCGGCGGCGAAGAGGCGGCGACGGGGAGGCGACGGTGACCACGGAGCCGCCACACCGCCACGCCGGCACAGTTTTGCATCACACATCTGTAAAAAACCCTCGTTGCAAGCACTGTGTCAGGAATGTTTGCGTATATACACATACATTTGATACGTATATATATGTACATATGTGTAGATGTATGTATATGTACGGACGACGTTGCAATGCACGTAAGACAGCAATTTCAAGCAATGCAATGTAATGCAATGTCAAAGCGGTGCGATTGAAATGCAATGCAATGCACTGCAGGCAGTGCAAGCCGATGCAAAATTATGCAAGGCAATGCAAAGCAATGCAAAGCACAACGTGGGAATGCGAAACAATGCCACGCAACAAAAGTCCACACGCCGTGCGGCGACGAGGCAGCGACAGGGCGGCGACGAGGCGGCGACGGCCGGAGCCGCCCACCAACAACACCCAGACGACGGACGGCGACGAGGCTGCGACGGGGCGGTGAGGGCGACTACGGAGCCGAAAGACCGCCATGCAGGCCCAGACGACGGGCGGCTACGAGGCAGCGACGGGGCGGCGACGGGGCGGTGACGGCGACTACGGAGCCGCCAGACTGCCACGCAGGCCCAGTTCCTTAGAAGACAACTGAGGACCCCTAAGCGCAACCACTGTTTGGGGAGTTCGATTGACCATAACATTGGCGTGCCCGAGAAAACTGCCAAATCCAAGTTTCCATGTCCAAATTACCTGTGTCCTCGCTTAGCAGGAAGAGGAGCGGCAACAGTAGGAAAAGGGACGGTAGCAGCAGGAGGAGGAGGAGCAGACAAGCGAAACGCGAGCGGTCAGCGCGAGCGCGCAACCCGAGGGCGGCCACCTGCAAGAGGGAGCGGCGGGCGGGCCCGAGGCCAGCCAAGTGGACTCCGTCATGATGATGAAAAACATGAGCGATGACGGGGACGATGATGATGCTGATGATGATGATGATGATGATGATGATGATGATGATGATGAGAAACACGAGCGATAATGCTGACGATGGTGATGAGGATGCGAGCGAGCGAGCGAGCGAGCGTGCCTTGCACCAGACGGCGTGTGAGCAAGGAAAGCAACAGGCTGTCGCAAGATGCCTTCAGCAACTGCTCCAAACCGCCACTGCCACTTCCAAGGTCGCGCACTGCGCTGCCCTCAGGAAACCGCGGGAACCAACAACTTCCAGACAATTGCACCAGAGAAAAACCCAACAGGTGTTTTTTTTTTGAACGTTTGACAGGCACCATGCGCGGCCGCAGTTTCGCCGTAGGGCCCGAAGATGCGCCCTAAATTCGGATTCCTTGTCGCCTTTTCGGGCGTACAACGGTCGAGACGGCCCAAGAAGCCTCCAAAACAGACGACCTGAGAGGGCCTGTCGAAGGCCCAATACGGTCTCAGGACGGCGGCGCGACTGCCCGAAGAGACCGAGCAGACGGCGAAAAGGGCCCCAAGACGGACCTCTTGAGTCTCAAGACTGCTCCACGGAAGCCCAGGACAACCCCGAGACGGGCCGAATGAGCTCCCAGAAACGAAGTCGAGAGGTGCCGGGTCTGACGGAGTTTTTCTAACGCCTCGTCTTGCCAATGACCATTGTCATTCGCATCGTATCATGAGCAACATCATCATCGAACCCAATCATCGTTAAAATGATCATTCTCATCATCTTGACCATCATCATCGTCGGCATTGGGTCTTCGTTGTCATCACCATTCGACCAGCCGGCGCCCAGATGCCTCTGCCGGCGCGGCGGTGGTATTTGCCGCAAGGCATCTGGATAGTCGCACCACCGATCGACCATTCACAATCGACCGCACTATCAATAGGGAGATCGATCGCGCGATAGATAGCAAGATCGACTGCGAGGTCGGTAAAAGGGTCGATCGTGAGATCGATCATGACACCGGTAGTGAGGCCGATTGAATGAGATCCATCGTGAGATCCATAAAGGTATGGATCGTGAAATCGGTAATCATAACGATCATGACATTGATAATGCTATATATTTGGTAAGATGGACGAAGGGATCGATCATGAGGTCGACAATGAATTCGATCGTGGGACCGATAAACACATCGATGAAAAGATCGACCAAGAATCCGAGAACCCGGAAACCCAGGAACCCTGCCGCCCACCGAAGTCGGCCTTATAACCAATAACCAGGAACCATGGAACCCGGAACCGGGAACCTGGGAACCTGGCCGCCCACTGAAATCGGCCGGGAACTTGCGCCAAATTTTTCAGTCTCCGCTGGACCCCTTCAATGCAAGCACTGATTGGGGAGTTACCTGTTTAAGACACAATGACCCCATGTCTCTCTTGGACAGACGCGATGTCCTCGGACGGCCGGTTTGCGAAACGCCATGATTCCCCGTGCAAGCTCCGAGCGCAGCAACCGGGTCCGATTCTGGTTTCTGGGCCAGTTGCGCAGTGGAGAACACCTGTCCTGTAGCGAGGCACACGCACGTTCCCCTTCTTTCCCTCCAGACCTCCGCAGCACCGCTGTATTGGAGACGCGGCTGATGTACGCAGATGTGACTCGACCATCTGTCGATGCGTCGCCCTCAGCTGTGCTCAAAAAAGCAGGAAGCCATACATATGTGAGCCTGGATACCGCGCGAGCGTTGAACATCAGATTTGTTGTTCCTTGGGGTATTTGATTTGGACAGAACCGTACGCAACGTCTTAACATCGCACGTCACTGCATCAAACCTCCAGCCTGGCTCGGATCCACTCGTGCCGTCTGCCGGCAGCAAAATACAGAGATATGTGAGAAACGATGTGCTCTCCAAGTCTTCACGACATCACGGTGATTTGGAGCATTCGTCCCCGCGCCCATTAATTCAACCTTCTCCTAACTGATCTGTAAGCCATCATGCATACCACGTGCTTCCACGCAGCGCATCAGCTCATGGCTTCATCAACTCGGGATCACTGCCGATGAACGGCGCGCCGTCCGCGTATACGAGCTCTCACGCGAACATTTCTTGCGGTTTGTTGTCAAGGTTGCTCTGCACGTCAAGATAAGCGTTTGTTAACATCATCGTCATGACAATGGTGAAGAGACTTGGTGGCAACGCCCCGCACCCCTGGCCGATGCCGTCAGCTTGCACATGCGAGGACGATGTGCGGCCGACGTTTGCAACCACGAAAGTACGGTCCTTGTACATTCCCTGATGTAAGATCATCTGCACGACCTGTTCGGGGCAATCAAACCTGCCCACGGACACCGCGAGTGCGTCTGGCGAAACTGAACTCAAGTCTGCCCAGTCTAAAGCGAAATGCATTATCCGCCCATCTCGAGTGGCCCAAGCACCATGCCGCAAACACGGCGTCTGTCGTTCTCCGTCTGGTTGTGAAGCCAAGTTCGGTTTCCAGGTCTTGTTTACTCGGCGCGCGCGTTCTTTAGACAACGCAACAATGTCATGGCAAACACCTTGTACCCGATGAACAACAAACTGATTGGCCGGTAGTAATCGCACGAGGCCGGGTCTCCCACAGTGTACAGCATACGCCAGAAGTGGATGTCATTTCTTCAAGAACTCTTTGTGAATCCAGACCATATTGCGGAACCGGGGTAAGTTCAGCGTTGGCGCACCATCGTCCGATGATGATGCTGGTTAGAAGAAGGGTGGGGACGAAGATCAAAGCGAACGGATGCGCCCAGCCAGCATGATGCGGATGACGGCGGCGCTGAAAGGGCGATCGAACGGACAAACCTGGCCAGATGGCCTCGTCATAATCAAGGGAACGATTGCGATGATGATGCTGGTGATGATTATGATGATGATGCCGAAAAGGACGAGGATAATGACGATGAGAGGGTGATCGAATGAACGAACCTGGCCGTATGGACTTCGCCGCGATGGTGAACATAAGATGTTAATGATGCTGATGCTGATGGTGTTGATATTGTTGATGATGATGATGTTTATGGTGATGGTGATGTTCATGATGGTGGCGATAATGACATTGTTAATGACGATAGTAATGATGAGGTTGACGAGTATGCCGATGACGATGAGGATGACGACGACGATGAGAGGGAGACCGAACGATTGAACTCAGTGATCCAGCGCCAGGTCGCAAAAGACCAGGGCTGCTCCGATGGCCTTCCTCAACTTTGCCACTTGTTGAGGAGTGGAACTCTGTGCTCGGCGAAGGGCGATCTGTAGACTCTGAGCCCGGAGCCCTTGAGATCTCTATAAGGTTGGCGCTGGGCCGGTATCGCACCTCGTGCCCCACGTTGAGGAACCAGGGGTGCTTGCTAATCTGCATCGCGAAGGCGTGCTTGGCACTCTTGTCTTCTTTCAACACGTCATTCACCTGTCGAAAACGCGCGGTATCTGCTCCCAAGATCGACACAAGCCGAAGGGCGTCTGGGCGCGAGGGCACGGCGCAGAGAAGACTGGGCCAAAGCCGTTGCAATGTCCAACCTTGAAAAGTACGCCCGTACCTTTGCGAATCAGCTTGCTTTCGGCTCCGAAAGCTGGGCGGCACGTCGGCTTCAGGGGTATTCAACTATGTTCAAGACAGCATTGGCAGCCAGACGCGTATGTATATATATATATACAGATATTACGAATTAGCTTGCAGCCCTTTCGTGATTCGCCAGCGGTGTTGTCAATTCGGCAAGATGGACATAAGCCATGAACGGCACCCAGGTGCTTGAGTCCTCAGGGGAGCCTTGACCAAGACCTGCATTGTACCGGTTCTGTGATGTTGCTACAGCTTCTGCTGCCCTTGCCAGACACTACTACCACTGCTACTGCTACTGCTACTGCTACTGCTACTACTACTGCCTGTACTATCACTGCTACTACTACTACTGCTACTACTACTACTACTACCACTACTACTGCTACTACTACTACTACTACTACTACTACTACTACTACTACTACTACGGCTACTACGACTGCTACGACTACTACTGACTACTACTACTAGTACTACTACGACTACGACTACGACTACGACTACGACTACTACTACTACTACTACGACGACGACGACGACTACTACTACTACTACTACTATTACTACTACTGCTACTGCTACGACTACTACTGCTACTACTACTACTACTACTACTACTACTACTACTACTACTACTATTACTACTACTACTACTACTACTACTACGACTACTACTACAACTACTACTGCTACTACTACTGCCTCTACTACGACTGCTACTGCTACTGCTACGACTACTGCTACTACTACTACTACTACTACTACTACTACTACTACTACTACTACTACTACTACTACTACTACTACTACTACTACTACTACTACTACTACTACTACTACTACTACTACTACTACTACTACTACTACTACTACTACTACTACTACTACTACTACTACTACTACTACTACTACTACTACTACTACTACTACTACTACTACTACTACTACTACTACTACTACTACTACTACTACTATAACTACTACTACTACTACTACTACTACTACTACTACTACTACTACTACTACTACTACTACTACTACTACTACCACTACGACTACTACTACAACTACTACTGCTACTGCTACTACTGGTCGTGCGCCAGTATGTGTAGTCCGCGAGTCTGTTCACAACACGCGGTCCCCCCCATGACAACGGCACTTCAGGTGCTCCCGCCTTCGGTAAATACCACAAATATCACACCTGCACTGCTCATGCTACTACTGTTGCTACGGGGCCCAGAGTCATCTGATCATGTGGTAGGGGGCAAGTGGTAAAGAATAAAGGGTAAGGATTTGGTGCATCCGGCTGCTGAACACCGTATGGAGCATCGAACACATCTATGGGGAGCTTGGGCAAGCCCGCTTCTGATGTTTCTTCCTAGATAATTTATGGAGCATGAGACATCTGCGAGGGGTCGGGGCCTCCTAGCTCTGTGTAAGACACAGGGCAGATATGAAATCTCGGTGTAAAGTGGGGGGGTACATATCACATTGTATGCCTATGCAGAGACAATCGGCCATGTGAGGAATTTTACTGTTACGCTCATACCGCCATGTGCAGCAGCGTAGCTGTGACTGGTAACACAACTGAACATATATAACTGCACATCCTGGAACTGAACACCCTGGGGCCGGCTCGCTTCCGAGGAAAACCCAATTCGGTCAAACGGACATAACGAAATTCATATGAGGGGGGCTTGGGTCGGCTCGCCACATATTTGACATCGAAGAAATCAATTGGGACTGGGATAGGCCCGGTTCCGATCAATTTCAGAAACATAACAACAGATGCGACGAGCTTTTGGTGCGGGGCCTTCGGGGCCCTGGCGCGTATGGCGCCCGAGGGTGCAGCGTCTGGGTCAACTGACACATCTGGCGCACGTTTCTCGTATGATTCCGACAGGTGTCTTCGGAAATCCGAAGGATGCCCTGAGAACTTCAAAGGACTGAGGACCCCGTGGGACTTTCAGGGCCCACTGAGGGCCCTGAAGAGTCCCACGGGTTCCCCAGGCATCCCGAAGAATCTCAGCATAAGCACGTGCTCGCGAGGTCTGGAGTCCTCCTCCGAAAACTACGACACAACCGAAAGGCTGTCGAGAGGAGCTCCTGATGCATTATGAAATGCCGTAGGTTGTTTCATAAGAACCGTGAAGAGTTCCGAAACCGTCCTGAGGCACTCCCTGCGTGATCGGATGAAGACCACAAGATACCTGCTGCAACACCAATACGGATCGTCAACCCATCGGGCGCCAACAATCTCTATCCAGGCGCGTCAGAGGGTGATGGCCAGATTCCCGTGACTAGGTATTTTCCCACTGCTAGAACGACGTGAGCAACAGACTACCACCTTCCCAAACTACCAGTAGCCCCAACAACATCAACCAACCAAATGCTTAGCGAACCAACTGAACATCCAAACAAACAACGACCAGCTGACCAAACTACTTTCCTGCTTCGGATATTCACTTGCATACCACGTGGCAGACTGACACATGGGCTGGCTACAATTGGACCTAGAACATAAAAACATCCTTCAATGACGTGAGACCCTCCGCCGGCCAAAATGAAGAGCATTCGAGGGTGCTCTCCCTCAGGATGCACAAGAACATCCACCAAATACGAGTAACAGCACGGTACACTCCCCGAATCGACTTCGATCTGTTACCTCGGTCCTCGGTCCGACTGTCAACCATTTGCCAATTGTCTGGCTGGCAAACTATCCCCCAACTCATGGCACATGGCTTCAAAATTGCCACCATACCTCCCGTGCCCGACCTCCTGTTTGCCCTCTGCCCTCCTCTCTCTTTCACCGCCATCCTCGTCTTCGTCACCGTCTTCGTCATCGCCATCGTCGCTACTCCTCAATGCCATCACCACCCTAACCACGATAATCACAGGCGACGTCCTCACCGTCCTCCTCTTCCTCGTCGCAGTGGTACAGTCGTCTGGCGCCTCCTCCTCCCCCTCCCCCCCTCTCCTCACCCACCCGTCCTCACCCTTAAGCCGCCCCGCTGGCTCGCCGTCCTCCCGCGCTGACCCATAGCTGCACGCCGAGGGGCCCCGAGAGGGCGCCCGGAGGAGCCCCCACGCGGCCAAAGAGAGCCCGAAGGACCGCCCGAGACGCCAAATGGCACGACCTTTTTTTTAGCCCCCCGACACGCAGCACGCAGCCCGTAGCGTGTTGATGCGGAGCTCAACACGAACGTGCGACAGTGATGAGGGCATCTTGCGAGTTGGCTCTTGCTATATTGGCGCTGGACCCCAATGAGCGCCTCCGACCGAAAGAGTGCTGAGGCATGTCCTGGTGGGCCTGCTTCGAAATAGACTGGCTCATCTTCACCCACTTCTTCGATGCTCAACACGCGGATTGGAAACGTGGGTCTGGCGCGATGCGTTCGCCAAAACGTGGGTCGACACGTGCGTGAGGCACGGGTTGTGTTTCAACACGTGCGTATCGAAGGAAACCCCGATAGCTCACAAGATGGTCCGCAGAGTAATCCCAGACTGGCCGAGCCAATCGAAAACCTAAGGAACTCAAGCAGCTTTTAGCTCTTCCTGGATCCCTCTGAACATGGCTCCGCGAGAGCCTCCGACGGCCGCAAGAGGTCGTCTGTAAGAGCCCCGGACGGCCCAAACGGGCCCAAGACTGCAAACATAAGGAAAGCTGAGTATGGGACGAAGCTTTTTGCGGGGCCCCTAAAGATCCTGGGTGCACCAGGACCGCCGAATGAGAAGCCATGTAAGGACCTAAGGAACAGCGAGAACCTTCCGAACCAGATTTTTTAAGACGGGGGCGCGCGGACTCTCACACACCAGCGAGACCTTGTGAACCCCAATCACAAGAAGGGATGACCTGCGGTGCGACCTCCCCAGGTGCATATCCAGACCAAAGACATAATAATATCCTTCACGAATATGAGACCCTCCGCCGGCCAAAATACCCCAAACCACGATATCACCCGAGGGTACGTTCCCCCATCATGCACAAACACATCCAACACACACGACGAACAATAGGGTGCCCTCCCCGAACCGACCTCGATCTCATACCTCGGTCCGATCGTACTTACCCATGTCATTTAACTCCGCGAAGCCCGCCACGCGATGCGCAGCGCGCGGTTATCTCCGCGCCCCCGCGGGGCCACCCTTGGAGAAAACGGCCGCTTTCCTGCCGAGGCCGTGCCGCGCGAATCGCGACACTCTTCACGCCCCTGGGGGAGACCTGGTACACATCACTGCGACGCGCATACCCGTATCCGCGCCCTCGCGGTCTGCATTCCGGGGCGCGATCTGCGGATGCGCGGTCGCACGGATACCTTCCACGCGGGGCATCCGCGAACAAAACGCCCCGTATCCGCGGGGTCGCGGCCCAGAGGCCCAGCCCGCGAAGCCGTGGATACGGATGTATGTAAGTTAAAAAGGTTTTCTTAAAGTGCGTGTAGATAGGACCATGAGCAGCCCAAATCCAGCGTCAAATTTCTGATGCCGAACTTTACGCTCTGCTTTTGGCCTAGCTTCCCCCCCCCTTGGGCCCCGGTTGGACGGAGGGGGGTGGGAGAGCCCAAAGTGTGATCCGAGCTGCGAGAGATCGTCCATTTCACGTGGGCTCAAGTTTCGACGAAAGCAAGCCTTTTCCCCTGCCAGAGCGAGCCGTCCCAGCGGGAGGCCATCTCAGCAACGAAGCTCTTGTTGTTCGCCGTGTGCGCGCTGGGGACCTCGCTGGTGCGCGAAGAGGCGGTGGACAGCTGGGTGGATTGCGCCGCCCACCACTTCGAGGCGTATTACTGGGACGAGCTGTCTCCCATCGCCGCCGGCGACGGGGTGTGCGTCGAGCCCGACGAGGAGCAGGAGGTGGAACCCCATACGTCCATGCCCCCGCAGCGATGGTGCAGAGCCTATCATCGTCCATGGTCCGAGGACAAGAAGGGCCTCATCATGCTGCGGGCGACGAGGTTCACGAATACGGCGGGAGAACGCCGATGGGTGGCGATCGCTCTTGCAGGGAGGCTTCAGGTGACCGGCCTCTCGGTGGCAGCGGAGGTGCGATCGACCACGTTCGCTGGAGTGGACCACGGAGCTTTCTCAGGCTCGTCTGCTCGAGAACAAGCTCGGCTGACGAGCTCATGATGGATATTATTCCCCTCGTCCACTGGTTGGACCAATGCTGTGTCGCTGTTTTCCGTCGGGACAAAAAGGGTCGTCAAGCAGAGAAATGACGGGAGCGCTTGGGGGAATATGACCCATTACGTCATTTGTCGGGATGATAGAACGATCTCGTGCAATCCCCGAAGGAAAAATTATCCGATCATTACCTGCGGTCATTTGCATATCATATGCGACAATCGAGCTCTCGGCTGAGAGCCAATCATTCGCAAGAGGAGCGCTGTTTCTGGCAAGAGTGGGGTGTGAGGATGAAGCTAATACATTGGTCTCCTCGCTCAGGATAGGTGTCTCTGACATGATTTTCATAGTCCGTTAAGCTGTGAGTAAATGTACTCAAGAGAACAAGGGAAGAGAGGAGGACGGACGGCGACGACACCGACGACAGTCCGCAACCTTTCAACTCTCGCTCCAATGGGCCCGCGGTGCCCATAAACCACGATCCTTGTACGTGTACCTAAACAGCTACGGCGAACGACGGCAAGGAGCGAACAAGGAGAGAATAATAACAACCGTTCCGCAAGCTGTTGGGCGACCAAATGGAAATCAGGGGCATGCACGACGACTACGCCCAAGACTTGCATCTCTGAGCCGGCTGGTCTCCACGACGACCTGCAGCGGCACCGCCAGGGTAAGCGCGGCCAGACAGGCGACCTCAGCGGACGACTCGAACGAGAGGCACGATGAGACCGCGATTCCGAGGACATGGACCTACCTTCAGGAGTGAGCTTAGCCATGGTAGCTGTAGATGTGCTCGCGTCGAAAAGAAAGGGCTCTTACGAGACGGAAATCGCAAAGACCCAAGCTGTCGTGCGTAGGCGACCTTTCGTGCCCATGAAGAAGAAGGGCCCGATGGCTGTCGAGAACGCCGCCGCTGAGAAGCCCATCGCAAGGAACTCCCTGGGCGGCGACAAGCTGGAGCGCCCCTTCAGGCTGCTTGTCCACGCCGTGCAGGACGACACGAACAGCGAGTACATCAAAGAAGTGGAGCCCTCTTTGCGCGACGTGTACCTAAAGCATCTACCTTTCTCAAGCCCAGGAGAGCGAGATCTCACGGTGGCCGCCGAGCCGGACAACCAGTGGTTTGTGAAGCGGGCACCCTTGAATTGAGGCATCAAACAGTATCACGGCCTGATGCACATCTTCCCCGAATGGAGGTCCGAGATGCCCATCGCACTGAGAGTTCTACACAGTTGGGAGAAATACCCAGATATGTGGGAAAGGGGGCCCGCCTCCGTTGAGGCTATCTATTTCGTAGCACGCGAAGCCGTTCCGCGAGGTCGCGTTGATGAAGGGATGGCTTGTCTGCTCGCTCACGACTGCTACCTGCGAGAACAAGACTGGCTGTAGCTGAGGAGCGAGGACGCCCACGTGAGCCACAGAGACCCAGAGGACCCCAGATCGATCAAGGTGGCGATCCTGCTGGGACGACGACATCGAGGAGAGAGTGTAACGAGGGGTCAGGAGCAGGGCGTGGCCATTGACGACCTGGGGATTGCAGCGGTGCTGGCGCAGCGCGCGCGGTCTGTCCTGAAAAGCGCGCTCGTGTTGAACACCACCGCAGCAAAGGCGGGCACAGTATGGCGACAGATATGGTCAGAGAAGCAAATCAGTTGGATGGGACCAGTGCACATGCTGCGAGGTAGTGGACCGAGTCACGACATCCTGCACAAAAGGCGGTCCATCGACGAGATCCAGAGGAGAGGCCGGTGGACACAGAGTAAGAGCATGGCACGACACAGCAAGCCGCACTCCGTGAAAGTTCACAACGCCAAACTACTGCCAGAAGTGAAACGACTGGGACGAGAAGCCAAACATGATCTACGACTTATCCTCCAGAGTATCCGCTCGAGCAACCCGTGGAATGCGGCCAGCTTGGCAGCCATCCAAATCGTCGGCTCACACGGCTCCAGGCCACGGCGCCCATGAACGAGTCAGATTGAGATGTGACGGCTTCGCCGATGTAGCCCGTGCCTGCCCGCTGCCCGAATGCTCTCCTGCTCCCACGTCCGTCTCTCGTCCAAAATATTATGCAATAGAGTCCCACGCTCCCAAGTCCCAATCTTTACATGTGAACCGAGGTTACGGGGTGTGGGAATGTTTTCTCGGAATGCTGGCCCTCGACACCTTGAATTCGCAGGTGCCCCGGTGCCCCGGTGACCCGGGGCCCTTGTGCGAGGCCCAGCTGCCACCGTCGGCGGCGGAGAAGCTTTGGAGTGGCGTGCTGAGCGTGCCGCGGTGGGGTGAAAAATCATGTCTCGCCTGCTCATCGCTCCGTCTTAGGATACATGTTTGTTCACGGGCGTTCGTAGGGTGCGTGTAGGTAGGGCCGTGAACAGCCCCAAATCCATGTGAAAATAACTTCTCGCCTTCCCATCGCTCCGTCTTAGGATATGTTTTCGCCCGTGAAAGCACCCATCTGGACTTGTTTGGGGGGCGTGCGGACTCTCGCGCCCACCAGTGCGGAATTGGCCAGCGTCCGAATCCGCGCGTTCTCCAGCGCGGAACGGCCGGGCCCAGCATCACTACTTTTTGTTTCGGCGGCTGATTCGTGGCCCTCGTGTGGCGCAAGAAGACGTCTATTCCCCCCCAGACCGGAGCCAAGAGTACTTCCAGGTGCACACCAGTACAGGCAGGACAAAATGTAATTGCGGTGGCGGTGTCAAACTATCAACGCTGGTCACCATTTGTGTTGCTGGTCCTGCGATCACAGCTGATGCTGCTTCCACTCCTGCCGCTACTCCTGTGTGTCCTGCTGCTGCAATTGCCGATGAAGACGCTATTGCTGTTGCTCATGGTGCTGATGCTGCTCACGCAGGCCGCCACCTCTGCTATTGCTGCTGCTACTGCATCTACTGGTGCTGCCACTGCTTCCCGTACTTGTGCCACTGTTGCTTCACTGGCTGCTGTTGTTGCTACTACTTGTGGGCTGTGCTGCTGGGAATTCTGGGAAGGTAAGCTCTGGGGCGCGACGACTGTTCAGGACAGGGGCAGGGCCGGCACCCAGGCGATGACACTATTTTGGGTTGGGGGTGTGGCTGGCGCTGGGGAGGAAAGCTCAGACTGAACTGGGCACGTGGATTGCGCTACGGCGGAAGCAATTCTGGGCTGATAGTGCCGTCTGTGCTGAGGCAAAGACACCACTCTCAGCAGGGAATGGCAACTTTGGCAGCGGAAGCACCATACCCTGGGTTCGCCGTCCTTCTCAAGAGTCAGTAACTTGCGAGGACCTCCCACGTGAAAGGTTTGGGAAGGCCAGTCAGTGCGCATGTCCCCAAGTGCGCATTACGAATCCCACCTGGACGGGCTCAAAGAGGAAATTACAATTTGTATCAGCTGCCAGGTAACTGCTGCATGCAAGAATCTGCATATGCTAACCGCGACCTCTCCGATGAGGCCCTTGACCTTCTCGACGATTTCTGTATTTTCCCCATTCGGAACAGTAGCCTTCCACCCCGTCTCGACTTTTCCGAGCAGTCTGCAATCTTCCTCGCAAACTCCTCCGTGCAACGCATCTGCACCCTCGGTAGGCCCCCTTCCACCTGCTCTTCGCGACAATCGCCCTCTTCAACGTAGCTCGACTGATGCCATGGTTTCTGCCCAACCGTCAACTCTCGCACCCTCCTCTCTCTCTCTCTCTGTCTGTCTGTCTCTCTCTCTGTCCCCGGTTTTCTCCCTCCACCGATTCCGCCATCTCCGATCCTGGTAAGCCGTGCCTTGCTGGCAGGGTCACGTGGCATGCAAGCCGCAGGAGAGGAGGGGAAGCGTCAAGAACGGGGTCGGGAGGACAGATATAGGTGGTGGAGCGGCAGGGGGCGGCAGGAGGACGAGGGAAAGAGCACGCACCATCGGTCTTGGCTTCCCTGATGATCGACTGCTCGCTCCCTGTCTGCACGATCGCTTACTGTCTGCTCGACTCGTCCTCGTTCTCCAACCCTCTCTTTGTACTTTCTACACCCCTGGCTCCTCGAGAGGACCGTGCTCCTCCTGAGCGAACTGAGCACCCAATGGCTGCTCGCTCGTCCTCCAGGCTTTCCCCCGACACTTCTGCCTAAATGCTGAATATTCGCCCACGTACGGCCCGCCCTAGGACAGAATCGCATCCTTCAAGAACATGAGACCCTCCGCAGGCCAAACCAAGGAATATTCGAGGATACCCTCCCCGAGGATGCACAATAAACGCTTACAAGAACGAGAGACATCAAGTTACCCTCCCTGAACCGACGTCGATCTTGTTTGTATCTCGGTCCGACCGTATTCGCTGATGGCTCTGACTCCTCCCCCGATCGTCATTCCCTCCCCTTCCGCCCATTCCTTGATGAGGTCTTGGAAGGCGCCCATGCACAGAGATATCTGCGCCTTCTTGTCCCCATCGGGCGCAAGCTGCCCAAATAACTTCTCTGCCACCTCCATTGCCCGATTAGCGAGCCAGCCAGAAGCAGATAGACCACAGGTCGGGGGTTGTTAAAGGTGCCCCTGGCCCAAGGCGTCCCCAGCCTTTCGCTCCATTTTGGAGCCCGCGGGGCCCTCTAGGCCTCGTAAGGGATTCTCTGGAGACCGTGGGGGCGTCCTCCGAAATCCTGGGATAATCTTGGACCAAGGGCACGTTCTGCAACACCCGAACATGAGAAGCAGCGGGGTGCGGGGGAACGCATGGCAGCACATGATGGGACAAGACACCTGACCAATGTACCTTGACGTCGCCGTGTGTGAATCACATCTCTTGCAACATAAAAACAATGCGTGTACTTGCCCAAGTTTAGCAGGGGCTACCCGGGGCGCGTGAAGGCCAACAATCGCTGGCATCAACAGGCTAGGGTGTATTCAACAGGGACTTGTAGGGTGGAGTGGTGACAACCAGCATTGGTGACAATCAGGGCTACTGTGTCTAGATAGGAACTAGTAAGGCTAATTGTGACAATTGCCGTTGGCAAAAATCAAGGCTAGCAGGGACAATGAATGGGATAGTGGTGGTCAGGATATCCTCCACTTCTTCCCCCCCATTTTTTCAACAGCGCAACAACCAGTGAACGCATCATCGCAAGCCTAAAGTGATCCACATATTCCGGTGCTGTTTTGATCTCGCAGAACAGTAAACGACATCAGAAGGTCAAGAAGGAGGAAGGGGAAATGGGCAGCGTACTTGCCAAAATCCGCTGCCGCGCGCACCACCTGCTGGATGCATAGCGGCATCACAGAAGTAACAAACACCCCAGAGAAGAGGGGGGAAATGGAGCGAGGCGGAGAAGAAGAGGGCGAGGGAAAACAAACAAGAAAAGCACCCATGCATAGCTTAGCGAACCCAGCGCACATGCAATATCTGTACAAATGGTCCGTACCCTTCGGCGCCAGCCTTGCAAAAATGCTCAAAGGCGACATGGACGACCGATTCCAGGAGGAGACACCGTCCCGCGAATCTGCTCGACGCTTTGAACACGGCAAAGGTTGCAAGCGCCGGCAAGATGAGCGCCTGTCGTCGGCTGCATCGAGGCACATGAAGGTTTCTAGACTGACGTTTCGGATGCCGATGGGTCTGGCTTCAAGTGTCGAGGTGAAAGGGCACGCCTCGCGATGCTCGATGATGTCCTGCGCTAGCCGGGAACATTCAAACCAACAATGGCCCACCTGCAGGAAACCCCGCGCCGTGCACTGCCCATTCCTTTGTGTCATCCAGGCAGCAGCTACTACACGCGAGGCGCCAACCGGCTGAACCTTCGAACAACTTTCGGCGCCTGGCGTGCAAGCCGGCAGGTCAGGGTGGGAGGCGCCCACCTTGCAAATCCCAGCAGCCCTTTCGGGCGCCAGGTGGTTTAGCGAGCCTCCTCTGCCAACCCCCTTCTTCCCCCTAGGAGAGGGGTTTACCCCTCCCTCTATCCCCTCCCGCTGGGTCTGGAAGGGTGCTTTTGCGAGGCGATAGAACGTCCAAGATGGCCCAATACGACCCAAAGACGGCTTCAGACAGCCCAAGATGAGTCAAGATAGCCTGCGAGTGGCCATGGAGCCTTCCAAGGACGCCCCCTAAGGGGCCAACATCCTTCCAACATCTGAAGAAAATCCATGTTGTTTTGCATTCTCGCCTTTTCGCTTGCGAGAAGTTTCAGAAGCTTCAGGATGATTCTAAGGTGGCCCAATGGAGCCCAAAGGGGGGCCCAAGAGGGCCCCGACACGGCCACAAACGCGCTCACGAGCGCCCGAAGAGCGGCCCAAGAGGCGATTTTGAGGGCTGTGACGGGGAGACCATTTTGTATCACCCCCCTTCTTTGATCGATGGTCTTCAAGATGGCCCCAAGAGGCTCCGAAGAGGGGCCAACAAAAAAACCCGAGAGGGTCCCAAGAGAGCCCCAAGAAACCCCCAAGAGGGCCCCTCGTGGGCCTCACACGCCTTCAGAATTTCCCCAAGACGGCTCCATGATGACCCCAAGAGGTCTCCAAGAAACTCCCAGAGCGAAAGATCCGCAAAGGCCTCGATAAATGTCTCCTGTCGTCATCGTCGTCGTCCTCGTCGGCGTCTAGGGATGCTGACCGCGTGCTGGCTTCTTCCGACATCCTCCTCCTAGCTCCCTCTACCTCCCCATATCTCCTCCAATCTCCTCCGTCCTCCTCCTGCCTCCCCCTGCCTCCCCACACCTCCTCCTACTTCTCCTACTGATCCTACCTCCTCCTCTCATCTCCTCCGACTCTATCGCTCCCCAGAACCACCAACGCACGGGGGACCCTTGCGGGTCACCGGTGCGCCTCCTGCTTGCTCCTGGTTCCTGCTCCTTCTCGGCCTGTCCTCTTCATTTCCCTTCCTCCTCCTTGCTGCGCTCCATCCTTCTCCTTCGGAACAAAGTCTGCGAAGACGGATGCGGGCCACTCCTAGATTGTATGCTGCAACGCATCCCTCATACAGGCCACTCGCCTGGTGATTGTCTTTGGATGGTGGGTACACGCGAAGTGTCAAACGATTGCTGCGGAAAAGGGGTCTAGACCAGGGTGAGTCTATGTTGCCAGGGTGAGTCACCGCTTTGGTGACTCTCAGACTTGCCAGGGTGAGTCCCTCCCCATCGTCCCTCCATCCTCCTCGTCCTCCTCCTACATCGCGCGTGTGCGCATCGAGGTCCATGAGTCTTACTGACCTGCCTCAGCCTGCTGCAAGGCCTGTGCACGAGCAGATCGCGCACACATTGGGAAGTCGAGAGGCGATGAGAGCGTGTGGCATCGTGCGTTATATATGTAGTGCTCAATGCTCGTGCATTGCCATGCCAAGTCGCGCTCCTCGTCTGAGAGGCTCCTGGCCAAGCCGATTCGCGAGTCCAAATGATACGGCATCGGGCGATCAAGGAACCGGGCCTGATGAACCACTGATGAACTGCCGGCCACAAGGCAGGGCAACTCATACAGTGGGCCTGTGAATCCTTCGCGCGCCCTCAGCCGAGCAACCAAAAACGCGCTGGCGGTCCACGTGCGCCATTCCTCGCTCAGTCGTCCACCCGCCCCCATCGAAACACCTGGTGCGGCATCGGGATAGGCTGGCACAAGTGCGAGAACTTAGATGCTCCCAACGTGTTGTACCAGCGAACTGCTAACAAAGGGGGCGGCCTGCTGCCTGGCAATGTCCCGAACGACCTCGGCCCGCTCGCGAATGACCAGATCCGGCAATTCATCGACGTCAGCAGGGCGGTCTACGCCCCGAGGTCTTCTGCTCATGCCGCAATCGGGACCTGTCCAGCCAGGGGCATGGCGCGCAATGAGAATGTCGATTCTCCGATCCCGAGAACCGATCAGGGCGCGCTCTTGAATCCCAGAGTGTAAGGGCACATTGCGAGAGCCCACGCCAAGCCGCTGAAAGGGATCTCCTTGCATCACCCCAGACACTCTCATACCGAACGAAATGAAAACACCCACCGGCGGACAACAACGCGCGCAAACACGTGCGTGGACTGCATAAGAGAGCGGAAACCTAGGGGGGGAAACCTACATCCGTAAGGACCTCCCAGAAGTAGCAATGGCAGAGGGAGGGAACGGAATTGCCGAATTCGAAGAGGATGACGATGATGATGAGAAGGAGCGGGTGCCTCACGGATGCTTCCTCGGGCATTCCTGCGACTCTGGCCGACGCGTCCAAAGGAAGAATCACATTGTTCAGGGAACTGCGATCTACGCGAACCCCCTGCTGGTCGGGCAGCGCACGCCCACTGATCATTCGCTTAATGTTGTGATTACCATGAGTCCGAGATGAGTTTCATGTCCGAATGTGTAAAGGGCCAAGGTCGGGTCGACGCTGGTTCTCTCGCTACCCTGCTACAGCAGACCCCCTCTTTCCGCTTGTCGCGAAAACCAGCAAATGCACATGATCATTCAATCCTACAGGCAGAGGTCGCCCAGAAATCATCTCACTCATTGGATCATGCAGTACTTCCGCTGCGAATGGGTGGCGCCGCGCAGCGAGCGGTAACCCGTCGGGGCCTGGCGCCGTGAATTTGGCTGTCCGGATGGCCATCCGGATCCGAGCAACGCTGGGGGGGGGGGGGGGGAGAAATCATTCCAGTTGAAAAGGCCTATCGTGCTTCTCAAGATACCTACGAACGCGCCAAAGCGGGGCGCCCTTCAAATTGACTGCAGGGAGGGGCCCAGCGCCAGCGCGGCGCAGGCGCCACTTCCTGGGTCTCCGAGACCGATCGGCCCTCAGGAGTGGTATAATCCTGCAGGGGTAACGTTTTCCTGTTGGGTGACCCGAGCTTGCCTCGACGACGCCGCGCGCGCACGTGCGCGCTCAATCTCTTCTTCCCCTGCCAGGCGTTGGAATCCCTTGCTGCTGTTTCAGTCAGCTCTAACCTTCGAGCGAGCAGTTGCTGCTGGGGGGCCCCATACTCGCGACGATAGACGACGGCCGCCCTCATAGACGCCCGCCCCCCCCCCCCCCCCCCCCCCGCAGCACTTGCCAGTGGGCGGCAGCAGCAGCAGAGGCCGCGGCAAAGGGGCGAGAGGCGAGGAGCAACTCATTTTGATTGAACGCCCTGGAAATCAAGCGAAACATCCGAGACTTGGTTTTGGCCTCAGAGGCCTGGGCCCGATTGGGGGAACTTCTGGCGGCCTCTCTCAGCAGACGCTTATGCTCGCGCCATTTGAGGGCGGCGGGGTGCGAAAGGGGGGGAGGGGGGGGGGCTGCGAGCGCGCAGAGAGATGGTGCTGGGCGGCAGGCGATTCACAGACATGCTGCGGGATGGGCTGCTCATGCTCAGGCTTTGCCTGCGCACCCCAAACGTGGCGCCCGCATGGGGCATGATCTGGTCTGATATGCCTCTCTGATACAGAGACTCGGGGGCACCCGGCACCGTGGCGGTAAGGATCCAGTGGGGCAAGAGCCAGCCTAGCGTGCTCGCATTTATCTTGTCCACCTGGATGAGCCTCTGGCCCCCCGCGATGAAGTGCGTCGGCTGCTCTGGGTCGAGCCCCGGCGCGCATCCCAATGGTTCCGCCCATTCCTGTGTCCGCTCGCGAGATCGCGGAGCAGCCATGGAGCCCTTGTTGATCCCAGGAGTACCCAATTACATCGCCGCTTTCTCATGGAAGTCGACGTCGCCCATGACCATGACCTTCGAGCGCACCAGGCTGGCCTCTGCGATCTCTACCTCGGCCGATATGCGCGCCAGGATCCTCTAGGTGTCGTCCGCGCTGATACCGAAGTTGTGAATGTTGTAGATTGCCAGAATGGTGTCGTGCCCGCGACGAATCTGGGGCCTCGGCGCTTAGCGGCTTAGCCAAGCATGATGACCGCGTGCTGTATGCGTCCCTGCTGCAGCGCCAAGTCTGCATCTGAGACCAACGGCCATGATAGCAACGTCGCCCGCGCCGTGGCGAAGAACCGATGAGAAAACCGCAGCCTTGTTATGAACCAACTAGGCATGTTGGTGCCACTCTTCCGGTGTGCCATGAACTTCTTGTACTGCTAAAACCGAATGCTGTCTTAGAAATGACCTGAAGAAGGTACGGGTCGGTGAAAGGTGGAACAATGTACGAGTGTCCCGGGCATCATGACCGAATTAAATTCGCCACCGGACCTCCTTGGAGACATGGAAGACGCCGTTGGATATTGAGAGGACCGCGTCTTTGTCGATGCCCTGTTTTAATACGGAGCCGTAGTTCCAGAGCAATTTCGTATCTGGGTCCCTTTCCTCACCTACCCCCAGACGAACTGTCGGGACCCATTGCGCTACAACGCTGCCTTTCGTACGACCATGTCAAAAGCGCAAATGCGGGTGGAGCTCCGTGACCATTGCCGAGAGCCTTTTGGTTTGAATCTCTCTGCGTACCATTCCTGCCGCCTTGTCCACCCCCAAGAAGATACGAGACGAGCCACCCTCGATAGTGTCAGCACTGAAGTGCCTCCACTCACCATTGGGCATCTTGAGATGCCGACGAGCTTTCTGAACCTTGCGCATGGCCGCATTGGCGTCACCCGACATCTCCAGACTAATCGTGCCATCAAGGTTCCTGTCCAGCTCGAGAATGCCCTTGATGGGAATGGCCGCCTCTGGTGTGTAGACCTGCTTGCGGATCTGCTCGGGCTGCTCACGCATGAGCTGCTGGTCGCGCTCAACCTCGTTCTGGCGGCGCCTGAACTCGACCAACTCTCCTTGGACCTGCGAGTTGACATTCTCCTGCTACTCCGCCACCGCCATGACCAGACTGGTCGTGCAGTTGTTGACCTGTGTGATCATGGAACCCGTGGCCTCTTCCATGCGCTGGTCAATGGTGAGCTCGAACTCTTTCTTGAAGCTGGCGGGGAGCACCTCGACATTGGATATCCAGCCTGGCGATGCCGGTGGTACAGCTCCACCTCCACCAACGGGTGCAGACGGAGGGCCGAGTCGCTTGACTGTTCACCTCCAGCACGTGCCATTGTCCATGGGTCACCGTTGGCAGCATCCATCGGATCAGGAGAACGACTAGCAGAACCATGACGCTAGACATCCCGCATCGCAGGCCCGCCCCCTCCTCCTCCTCCTCCTCCTCACCCTGCTCCTCCCTCGTCCTCCTTGCCTGCTGGAACTTCCTAGAGGCCCCCCCCCTCCCCCCGCAGCAAAACCTTGGCCTGATGAGGCGTCGCCGCCTTCGGCAGCGACGCCTGCGCGCCTGGCCGCCCAGCTGCGGACTGCGCGTTCGCCGCGCCCCACTCCGAGGCCTCGGGGATCTCAGCAAACGCACTGTCCTAGGAGTCCTACATAGGCTCTCTATATTTGCCTCCTCCTCGTCCTCCTTCCTCCTACTCCTCCTCCTCCACCTTATCCTCCTCCTCCTCTCAATCCTCCTCCTCTTCCGTCTCCTCCCTCACCTCTTCCTCCTCCTCCTCGTCCTCCTTTCCTCCTTATCCTCCTCCTCCTCCTCCTCCTCCTCCTCCGTCTCCTCGCCTCCTCCACATCCCCCTCCAATCCACATCTTCATCTCCTCCTCCTCCTCTTCCCCCTCCTCCTCCTCCTCCTCCTCCTCCTCCTCTCCTCCTCTCCTCTTCCTCCTCCTCCTCCTCTCTCCTCCCTCACTCTCCCCTCTCTCTCTCCTCCTCCTTCTTCTCCTCCTCCTCCCTCCCCCCCCGTCCTCCTCCTCCTGTCCTCCTCCTCTTCCCCCTCCTCCTCCTCCTCCTCCTCCTCTCCTCCTCTCCTCCTCCTGCTCCTCCTCTTTCTCCTCCTCCTCCTCCTCCTCCTCCTCCAACCCCTACTCCTCCTTACTTAGCACGCCCAAATTGCGGATAAGAGTACATGGGCGGGCGAATTGGTCGCGGGGTGGGTCGCGGAAGGGACAACAACAGCAGCAGCAACAACACTAATACCAACAACAACACCAACAACACCACCAGCAACACCACCAGCAACAACAGCAACACCAATACCACCACCAACATCAGCAATAACCACCACAACCACAACCACAACCACAACCACAACCACAACAACACCAGCAACACCAGCAACAACACCAACAATACCAACAACAACGACGACAACGACTACGACGACGACAACAACACCACAAACAACAACAGCAACAACACCACCACCACCAACAAGCAACACCACAACTGCAGCAGCAACAACAAACCAACACAACGCAACAACACATCCAGCACCAACAATCATTCTAAGACTTTTGGTTTTGAGATGCTCGCGAAAGGTGGCAGGACGAGACGACGTGGAGAGATAATGATGCAACGCGACAGAAATGACCAGGAGTGGGATGGAGCAAGAAGGGTGTTAGGAGCAGCAGGAAAACAAACAACGAACTGGGCGGGACGGGTCGGGCGGGCCCAGACGGCCGGGTTGAGCGGGCGGGTCGCCGAAGCGTTAGTCCTGCATGAACCACGAGGAAGTCTTGAACTGCAGCGCGATCCCCCAATACATCGTGAGGCAATCCGATGCGGAAGGAAAGCGTGACTCTCTGGATAAATTGTGAAGACGTCCTGCGCGAGAGCGCGAGTATGCATTACTTGTGAGGAGATATCAAACTGGAGCTGTTGTGTGGGTAGTTCGGGGTGCAGAAAACAGATCTGACGCGCAAGGCTCTCCCTTGTAAAAAAACAGGGTGCGAGCCCCGGGATGAGCCCTTCATTTGAAAACATACATGGGCACCCGCGGGGGATCAACAATAATTGTTTTGTAGAGTTGATAATTCAACAATGAATTAACAGCTATTCGTGCACATCTGCTCGCGTGTCATTCAACATGTATACCGCAATCCCCCCAAAACTACCCTCTTCGTTTTCGATGATACCCCCTTTGGGAGGATATCTTCCCAACCTGCCGCGCGCCATTGGCGCACAGACCCCAAAACAGTGGAAAGGAGGAGGGAAGGAAAAAGGGGGAGAGAGAAGGATAGAACGCGACATACAATGACAGGAGGGGGAAAGGAGCAAAGAAACAAACGGTACAATCAGACTGCAAGCAATCCAATAAACTTGGTACGATTTGCCGGACTGGGATCGTGACTGGATCTACGCACGACCGGAGTCCGAGTCTCAGGAAGGTGCGTCGGTGCGATTTCGCCCAGGCACGGTCAGGAAGTCCCGCGGGCGAATTACGTTGGCGACGGCGACGGCGACGGCGGCGGCGGCGAGACGGACGACGACGACAACGACGACGGCGGCGACAGCGCGGTCCAGTATTCAGGGCGCGCGAACCCAGAGGATAAGCGAAGTAAAACTCCAGCAGGGGCGCCTCAATCAAATTCTAGATGGCGCCTTCCCCACCCGTCGCGCCTGCCCCGTGCACCTGCGTAAGTCGTCCTCGGGGACCTCCGCTGCCCTTAACAGTGGTCCGACAGGTTCCGTTCCGAACGCATTATCCCAACATGTCTCCACTACTCGGATCCGTCCAACAAACATCGGGTTCGCAGTGGATCCGTCCAACAGGCGCCAGTTCCGCATAGGATCCGTAGCGGATCCCCGCCCAGATCCGACGACCTAGGCGAGGTTGACACTCCCGAGCGGGGACCCTCCTCAATGTCTTCGGGGGGCCCTGCGCTTGTTTTCGGTCGGGTGCACGATGCTGCGTCCATCGCCCGCGACCTGCCGCCAAACTCCCTTTCCCCAGGCTGGCTGGCCCGACGGCCCCTTGACTGGCTGGACCGACAGTCTGCCAACTCGTGCGATGTGAAGCTTCAGGCCAGAATCTCAAATCGTACCAATTTACCTGAATGTCTGTAGCGGGTCGGGCTGGCGGACCCTTGCGGGCGAGTCGGGCCCAAACGGCTGGGTTCGAGCGGGCCAGTCGCTGAAGCGTCGGTCCTGCATGACCAGCGAGGAAATTGCAAGTAGAAGCGCGATACCCAAGTAAATCGCAGTAACGTCCCAAGCGAGAACAGGATTCGACGTCTCAATCTCTTGTCAAGAAATGCCACACGAGAATGCGATTCCCGTATTGCTTGTCGAGAACTCCTGCGCGAGAGCGCGAGTTACCAACACGTCGTGAGGAATTCTCGACCGGGAGCCGTTCTGTATACTGGGGGCCAGGGGCACAGCTTGAGCCCCACGACTTACCCTGATATGAAACATGGTGCAAGCCCTGGGGGAGGCACTTCAACCGGAAAAAAACATAATGGGCACCGGAGAGGGGGGAACATCCAAAGTTATTCGTCAGAGAATCCAGCAAGAATCCGCACAACGGAATCACACTTCAGCCGCGCATCCATGGACAATGAATGACCGCTCGGCCCCCTCACTCTGACGAAAGAACTCGTCCTCGCCGCACCGCCAGGCGTGTCAGTAGGGCGCGGTCTGGGCCCTGCAGGCCAAGACCCTGAAGCTTGAAAGATCCAAAGGCCACAGGGACGGATGGTCGGCCCTTTTCAAAGCATGGTTGTCGCCCCGGGGCCGCGCGTATATATCTGACAAGTTTCCACCACAGAAAAGGCTACACGGATCGTGGATGGGCTATGGATGGCCTATATTCAAATGTGGCTCTCGTCTCAGCGCCGCGCGCGCTCTAATTACTGGCAATTACACGGCTGGAGGGCGATCCGTTTTCATTGTGTGGCTCTCGTCTTAAGGCAGCGTGCATTTATGTGTCTCCCCACGATGTCAGCACAGGATGTATTGCTGTCCACTTCCGGGCCCCTTCCGCACAGAACGGTCACCGGCAAGAGATATCAGGGATGGAGAAGTAGAATGGGATGTTGGATGACTGGATGGGATTGGCAAGAGAGGGGCTGTGAGGCACGTGCGGCTGAGCCAAAATGGGTACGGACATCGCACCCTTCTCTGTATGTTCAAGCACATAGGCAAACGTCGGAGGACACATGTGCGAACTAATGAGCTGCTGGCGCTCATTCCCGCAGTCCCCCGAAAAATAATGGGCTTGAATAGAGGTGCGACATCCGAGACCCATCTGGCATCCTTCAAACGATTCACACTAGCAGTACTGGCACTGGAGAGCGCAAGAAAACGGCAATTCGGACACCGTCCTCGTGGCTAGGCGGAGCGGCCTGACTTAACAAGAGTCCACGCCCCCGCGTCAGGTCACACTCTGGCCACTTGGCGTTCCCGAAATAAAGGGCAATCACGGGCGCAACGAGAACACTTGGACAGGAAAGATACGCTCCAAAACATGCAAGAGAACTTCCGCCTCGCCAGTGCCTTGAAAACGGAGAGGTGAAAGAGGCGAGACAGAGGGCAGGATTCACTGCAACTGTCGCCTGGGCTCGGCTCTGGATCGGTTCTTGACTCGGGGGTCGTCCTTACGATCTGTCAGAGAACCGTCTTCGGATCTTAACCTAAGCATGCCCGGCTTGAGTAAAGCGAGCTGGGCAGCATTCGTCTTGGCCGTATCGGCCTTGGTGAGGCAGTCGACAAGCATGCGGGGATGGGGCGCCCACCTGATCGCACTCCCTATCCGATCCATAGTCTCTCTAACGACGGCTAGATCTATGGCGGCCCTCCTATCTGACATGGTCCCCGACGTGAGTTTCGAGAGGGTGTCATAGATCCCCTTCGCGTCCACGACGCTGACATTGCCGGTCACCGGCTCGCCAAGCACAGCGCAGTCTTCCTCAAGAAGACTAACGAACGGACCGAGGTTGCCCCGCCACCGCTCGTGGACGACATTGCCGCGAGTGACGTCGAGCAGCAAAATCTGGAGCCACTCCGCTTCGCCTAAAGCGCTAGAAAGAGACAGGGTCTCGCCCGCCAGAGCGGACGCCACTTGACTGCGAAGTTTTCCCGATCGCCACGCGATCGGGGTCACTCGGGCCCGGGGCCCGTGAGCCAAAGAATTATCGGCAATGTAAATATGCTAAGCCTCTTGTGGATGCTGAGGGGCCCCCTTCTTGTCCTCGGCCCCCGCTCCACCGCAGTCGCCGGCCGTGGCCAGCGCAAAACCGCCTGGTCGAAATCTCCAGACTATTATGGGGAGGGACGCGGTGGACCTCAGGTGGTCCATAATTTTGTTGGCATCCAACCGGTCCTTGACAGAGTGGGCATTCACCTTTGCGGCAAGAATCGAGGCCGCGCCCGCGGCCTCGGCGCGGGACTCTCGGCCCGCCCACTGCAGCTTATACACGAGCGACCGGAAAGCGGCCACCTCGCCGCCAACAAGGGGGGCCTCGTGATTTCCCCTCCGACCCCGAGCCAGCGGAATCTTCAGAGGCTGTTCCAGAATGTACTTCTCCTGGTCCACCAGGGCCCTGTCCCCGCCCAAA